CCCAATAAAAAAGGCAAAAATGGAACTGGTGGTGGATGGCTCTCTAGACTGGGGAAGAGACAGAGTTAGACCATGGGTAGTACTAGCTTTCTCAGATAAATAAAAATTCTAATAATTCCCAGTAGCTGACCAGAGTGAAATAGTCCCCAAAGGTGGGTCTTAAAGTTCCTCAGCAGGTGAATTAAATTGGGAAGGAATGTGCTGACACCTGGCTGGACTGAGTACTTCAGGATGGGGAGGACAGAAGCTGAGGGAATCAGCAGAGCTAATGGCACTTTTGTATATAGGGATATAAACTCCAAACTCTTAGGGACAGGCACTTGTCTGTCCCCAGGACATAGCATATAGGAGGCACTATTATTTTGTTGAATGGTTGATGCAAACCAGAGCAGCAACCCAAATTCATCTCAATACCCTAAAGCCACATCCTAACCCAACCTACCCTGGCTGATCTGGAACTCAAGCTAAAGGCTACTGCAGAGGAAGGTCCTGAGCAAAGCAGTTGGCTTGGGAAAGGAAGGCATAGGGACACCCTGAGAGGAAGAAAAGGCAGTTTTTATCACCCTCTTTTTACTGTAGCCAGAGACGACTTTATCAGGCACATTCAGATGCGTCTTCTTACTTGATCTTCCAAGTCTATTTTGAGACAGGCACGACAGGGTTTATTGTTCTCATTTTACTGAAGCGAGGGAACAATTAAGTAGTTGGGAGACCCGGAGTCTAAAGGGGCCTAGAGTTTCTGAAGAATGATACACTGATGTGCCCTAACAGTCAATCTCCAGACACATCACCTGCCATGCTGCAGACTGTGAGGGGCCTCTGGCCACACCGTAGAATATGTACACAGGTGGTGGGTAAGGTAGGAGTTGTTGAAATGGTAGTCGCGAAAAGGGCCGAAGTAAGATCTTGAAGCTATGAAGTCTCACAGCTGCTGGCCTGGGCTGGGGGCCAAGACACCAGAGTCTACCTTAGACTTCAACTTTATGAACTCCAGTGCCCCAGTTAGGGTTGTAGGGCTGGGCCCTTCCTACCAGATTTCTCAGTTCCAGGCCCTTTCTTTAACACTACTTCCTTTGCCCTTGGCATTGAGTTCTTCTGGAGACCTAGAGAATTAAAACTCATATCTGGCAGCTTTTCTTGCCTTGAGGCCTGGGAAGCACCTGCGTGTTTAAGCATTTAAGTGAGAGCCTACAGAGGGTCTCTTAACTCACCAAGGTTGAGAAGGATCTCCAACCATCATCATACGGCCAAGGAACATCCTCAGGTACTATGCAGCCAGTCCTGATCCAGGAGGAGAGAACATCTCTAGCTGAAAGAGCTGCTGCCTACTTCCACCAGAAGCCTTATCATGGAATTCCAGAGGACCCAACAGGCCATAACAGAGTCGCTGTAGTCTTGGGAGAGCTATCTGGATGAGTCCTTGATTATAGAGTTGGGAGTCCACTTTCCACATGAGATCTTACTGATTCTGCTCTGTCTATACCATCTTTTGTGTCATTGCTTTTATCATTTAATCTGATAAGAGAGAATCATGCTGAGCTGGGTAGGCACCTTCATCTCAGGCCAAAAATTCTAGGCTTCAGGCTCTCTTGCATCAAGAAAATATGTACTGCTCAGGCGGGTAGCTCCCTCAGTTAAAGCCTCCTCCCCATACCTCAACGTTTTTGTTTGATCTCTGGTCAGAGCACAGGCAAAAAGCAACCAATGAATGCTTAGCTAAGTGGAACAACAACAACAAAATTGATGGTTTTTTTCCTCTCTCTCAAAGTCAATTTTAAAAAAATAAAGAAAATATGTACTGGTTTGGACCAGGGAATCCTGGGGAAGGAGAACTAGTGGAGGCACCGGCTTTGGTTAGGCTGCGAGAGCCCCTTCACAATGCAAGAAGCCAGGACTTACCCACTTCCTCCCCATCAACAGCCCGGCTCCTGACAAAGGTTCCATGATGCAGCCCCTCCAAGCAGCGGAATTACATCCCTGGTTCCTTACTACTACAGACTATTTACGCGCCTCATCAGCCAGGCCCCTCTTGAAAGAGGGCTCGTGGGAGCCTGGAACAGAGAGGAAAGCGGCTGGACCCCACCGAGCACGCCAAGTTCACTACTGGTCTCTTGCAGTGACACCCCTATTCTGAGCCCTCTGCACGGACCGCAGAAACCCCCACTTTTCCTGAAGAGGTGCACAGCACTCGGGTAAAGTGAAGCTCATCACCTCCAGTGCCCTCCTCACTTTGGCTCAGCGCAGTCCCTCCAGGAACCCGCTGAGCAACGGAGCCCGAAGGGAGACCTGTCCTGATCTCTGGCCCCAGCCACCCATTCCCAAAGTGAGAACCCGGTTGAAGTACCCAGGTTGGTACCGAAACCGGCCTCCACGGGGCCTCTCTAGGAAACAGGGAATTTCACATATGGTTAGCACTCTGTTCACGTTGATTGGCCTAAAACCGAAAGAACCGGAAGATGCCCTTAAAAAACGTGGCTGCACGCTAGCTTCACTACGGTTGTCTCACTCACTCAAGAAACTTGGCATAGGCTTCGGCCACTGCCTGCCCATCATAAGGTGACGCCACGCAGTTCACTTTGGTTCCTCAAAACAGCGACATCTGCCCTCAACCACAATGGCTGCGCTGCCCAATTTGGCTGCCTGCCCCTAGGGATGATGGCTGCCAGGTGGCTTCACTTAGTTTCTCACCACCCAGGAAGACGCGAACCAGCGATTGGGCACTGCCCGAAGGCTCCGAGAAGAAGCCCCTCTGCGATTGGGCAGTACTGGGTAAAGCTGGTTTTAAAGGAGCCGCAGGTGAGAGCCGTCGAAGACCCGGGATCGGCGGGAGGCGGCGGTGAGCAGCGAGCGGGGGAGGGTGCCGAGCGGCTGGAGAAAGGGCGGGGGAGGGAGGCAGGGAAGGAAACTTTTGAACCATCTGGTCCCGGACTGGGGAGAGCGCTGGGCGGGGATCCGGAGAGGGTGGAGGGAGGGGGTCTGTGGGCGGGACCTCCCGGGACTGGAGTGAAGGGGTCTCTGCTGGACCGTGGATCCCCGGGGATCCTGACAGAGTTTGTGATGCTCAAGCTCGGGGCGTCCTTGAGTAGAGCTTTGCAGAGCCGAAGCTCACTGGGAGAGGAGGATCCTCCCGCGGCGTCTGATTGGAGGAAACGCGCTGTAGGATTCTTTCCGCTTGGATCAAGTCTAGGGGACCTGGTGGGAGGGGGGAACCGTCGGTGTGTGGGAGTTATTGCCACGGAATGCTCAGCCACTCGTGGGAAGTGGATGGGGATCGCAGCGGGCGGAAACTGAGCCTCCCAGGACCAGGATCCCAGCTGATCCCGGGTGGGGGGGCTGTTCTCAGAGCAGAATCTACTGGGACAAAGGCCCTAGGGGGCTCGGGCCATGGGAGAAGTGGGGCTGCTGCAATCCAGGCTCTCGCGGCAAGTGCCAAGCAGGGTGCGAGTGATCCTTTGATTGCGGCGGCGGCGGCTGTGGGAAGACGCCCGCTCCGGAAGGCCGACCTGGGGCGCCCTTTAGCGTCCCAGGTCTCCAGCCCGTGGGCTACCGAGAGCTTCCAGCTACCATGAAGGGCGGAGCCCCAGGGAAAGGGCTGGCCCTCACTCCCCACTCCCCCGCTCCCCACCTCCCACCCCAGGCTGCAGCCTGGGATCCCCCAGGGACTCCCCGGAGCCGCCGCTTCCCCAATGGACTTGCCGGGGGACTCCAGGTGAGAGTGTACCCTGCCAGCCTGTCTTGAGCCTGGGAAACGGGGAGCCTGGCGGCCGTACAGGGGAAACCACAAAACTAACTACGGGCTCAGGCGACCGTCCTCTGCTTCTCTCATCCTGCAGCCCGCCTGGCCAACCACGTCTGTGCCGCCAGCCCCTGACTCGAGCATTATGGGGAACCGTAAGCCCGAAACGGCGGAGACTGCAGCCCCCGGTGGCCCCTTCACCCTTGGAAAAGGCCTCGCGGCGGGTCCTGGCCGTGGTACTGGAAGATGTCATGGCTGCCCATATGGTGAGACCTGGAAGGGACTTCTCTCCCAGGTCCCTCAGTACCAATCAGGCCAGAACACTAGTGAGGATAATTGAGGTACAAACACCTCATTCTCACACACGTCATTCAGGCAGCCCCCCTAAAAATGCTAGAGTTCTGCTTTACTCTCTAACTCCAACCTCAAATGGGGCAGGGTCCCCAGTGTCCATTCCCCACCCACCACCAACCCTGTTGGGCTGGAACCACATCCCTACAACTCTTTAAGTATGAGAAACCCTTCAGCCTTCTTCCTAGCCCAACTTCTAGGCAATACTTAGGAAACAGACTGAGATCATTGGCTCCATTGCACAGAGAAAAACTGAGACCCCAAACAGGGCAGTAATTCACCCAAGGTCACTCTGTGTTTTTTTTCATTTCTTCCAACAGCCTGGGTGAGATTATCTAGGTCCTACACCAGCAGCTCAGAACACTGTAATATTTAGCCCCCAATTCAGTTCAATTCACCTCTTTGATGATCTTGAGTGGATTCTAACCACAACCTCTGTCACCTTTGTGTCATAGGACACTATTAGAAATAGGGAGGCCCTGTCCAGTCTAACCTCATTCCATCACCTTGCTCTTGACACTTCTGCTCCCAGGTCCCTCTGGTGCCCCAAGAGACCACTTCCACCCCACTGCACTGCAGCAAACGTTGGGATTCTGTCCACAACCAGCCGCCTGCCTCACCACCCCAACAGGCCAGGTAAGCAAGGCAGGGTAGGGGGTAAGCTGGTGACACAGCTGAGCCCCTCTGATCTTCATGCTCCCTTTCTAGGCCTCCGTACCCACTGCACTTATGCCGAGAGCCCTTGACCCGCATCCACCGGCCTTCTCCCACCCTGAGGCGTCAATCAAGGACAACCCCTGGCCCAGAGGAAGGCCCTTCACAAGAGGTGGACCGGCCCCCCCAGCCCACTCTGGTGGTGATGTTAGAAGACATTGTCAGTCCCAGACCCCCACCTGAGGTATGGGAACTTCCAGTAAGGATGTCAGGTGCAACTTGGGGCAGACACTCCAGTGAGGGTAGAAGATGGGTAGGAGAGCTGAGTCTGGGGTAGACTTTGCTCAGAGCAAAGAGGACAGCACTATTGGTGGAAGACACTGTTTGAGCAAAGACCTATATGAAAAAGTCTTTGGTGTGAACCCAGGAAGGCATCTGGAGACTGAGAGAGTTGGGATGTGGGAAGCTAAGGAGGCCAAAGGGGGCTTCCCTGCTGGTCCACAAACATCCCCTGTTTATATCCAGGACTTGGAGGACGAGAATCCCAACTTCATCATCCCAGCGAGAAGGTGAGAAGGCTGGGGAAGGAATTATTAAGATGTCCAAGCAACAGCCATTGACAGGCAGCCAGAGCTATGGGACATTAGAATTTTGTTCAGTAGTTCCATGTAGCACCTTCAGTAGCCTTAAGGGACGGAGGAGGTGCTTGCTCAGGTGGGATCTGAATCTGGAAGCTTCCCCAGCTTTTACTTTGCCCCTTCACTCCAGAACTGAGTCCATGATGATGATTCACCAGACAATGCCTTCACCCAGGGACTTGGAACCCCCATTCCAGCCATCTGCCCTACCTGCAGACCCTCTGGAGAACCCTTCACCAGGTAAGGACTGAGATAGAGGGATGAGATTTGGGGCTCTGGAAAATCCTAGCTGAGTTTAGAAGTGTCAGAGGCAGAGGTGAGGGTGGAGCTTAACCCCCCTTCCAGGGCGGAGCTTGGTGTGTGAAGATGGGATTTCGACTTAAGAGCCTGGTGTCCAACTCCTAAATTTAGGGCTTAGTTTTTTTAGGAATAGGCTTCCTCTGTGGGCAATTTAGTGTTTGGGGAAGTGCTGAAGTTACTGAAGTAGGGCTTAGACACCTGCAGCTGAGGAATGCCCACCTGTGACCCTCTCCTTTCCTCAGCTCCAGATCCGGTTCTGGAACCCCCATCGACCCCACCACCGTCCAGCCTTTTACGCCCCCGCCTCAGTCCCTGGGGCTTGGCCCCCCTCTTCCGTTCTGTCCGCTCCAAATTAGAGAGCTTTGCTGACATCTTCCTCACACCCATCAAAGCCCCACAGCCCCCTCCCCCATCACCCCCCATGAAGTTGGAATTGAAGATTGCCATCTCAGAGGCTGAGCAGTCCAGGGCTGCTGAGGGTACTGCATTTGTCAGTCCCCGCCCCCCTATCCGCCAGTGGAGAGCCCAAGACAACAATCCCCCAGCATCTCTCCCTAAACCACCTCTGGGCCGAAGCTACTCCTGCCCTGACCTAGGGCCTCCTGGCTCAGATACCTGCAGCTGGCCCCCTGCTCCACACCACCCAAGCAGGCCACGGCCTCGACGGCACACTGTGGGTGGTGGGGAGATGGCTGGAGCCCCGCCACCCCCTCGACCCTGTCTCCGGAAAGAGGTCTTCCCTCTTGGAGGAGTGGGAGGCTCTCCTCCCCTCGTCACATCTTGTCCGTCCACCGCATCCACTTCCTCCTTCTCTGAACCTGCAGAACCCAGGTAGTGCTCTCAGTAAACCCTTAAACCCCTGGCCACAGTCTGGGCCTACCTAGCCTCCTTCCCTAGTCCAGTGGGCAGGAGATGGGGATACTGCTATGAATATTATTTGTCCCTGAACCTTGACCTCTGTAGGTTGGGCTCAACCAAGGGGAAGGAGCCACGGGCCACAGAGGACCAAGTGCTTTCAGACCCTGAGACCAAGGTAGGTGTACAGATGAGGGGGAGGAAATAAGTGGGAGGCTGTGCCCATGCCACACTCTTACCCTCTGCCCCATCTTTGCAGACCATGGGAAAGGTTTCTCGATTTAGAATACGCAGGACACTGGCCCGTCCTCAACTAAACCTTACACCAATGGGGCTGCCTCGACCGATCAGGTGAATGCTTATTGTGTATGGAGCTGCCTTGGCCAAACAGATGTACGCTCACAATCCCTGGAGTGTGCCTTTGTCTCCTCAGGGAGCACAGTCCAGTTTGGTGGTTTGTGCTTTGAACTATCTGTCTGCCTCAGGCAGTACTCCTGGCATCTGGCATGTCCCAGAAACTGAATACAGACCAGGCCTTGCTTATCCCTTCTCCAGGCCCCACTGGCCCCAGGTTTTTTAGTGGCCTCTGCTCTTTTCTCCCAGGTTGAACAAGAAGGAGTTCAGCTTGGAAGAAATTTACACCAACAAGAATTACCAGTCGCCTACAACCAGGAGGTGAGACACTTTGAAGGCTTGGGGGTGATAGAGGGAAGGCTAGAACCAGGGGGCATGCTGGTAACCAGCACCCCTCCCTGCCTGGTCCAGGACATTTGAGACCATCTTCGAGGAACCCCGGGAGCGCAACGGGACTCTGATTTTGACCAGCTCAAGGAAGCTGCGGCGGGCTATGGAATTTCGGGACAGCAGCCTTCCTCGATCCCGGCGACCATCTCGTGGGGTCCGGGCTACAACTGGCAGGACCCTTAATCCCAGTCTGGCCCCCAGCCCAGATGTGGGACCCCTGCTGCAGCAGCGGCTGGAGGAGCTGGATGCCTTGCTTCTGGAAGAGGAGGCAGCGGATTAGGGATTGGCCCCATCAGACCTAGGAGCTCCATCTGTTTCTCTGTACATCCATCGTAGAGGGAGGGGAAGCCTCTGAGGCCATTTTATTTTTTTCTCTGTATTTCTAATAAAGTTTTCGTAATGTTTCTGATTCTTTTGTATGTTCCTAGCTGAGTTTGGGATTGATTGGCACTATTGGCTGATGTTTCTATTTTGGCCTTCAAAGACTGGGAAATGGGGGAGGTGTTAGGAAAGGCAATGAAGGTTAGATACAGGGATAACTAACTTTATTTATGAAGATACTTTATTTACTTGAGAATTTTCCTGTGTGGAGGAATACTTCAGAATCTGCTCCAGAAGATACTGTGATCCTGGACCTTGGTCAGGGTTCTCCCAATTCACTTACAGCAAACAGCAAAGAGGACACTGAAAGTCCCAGAGTGGCCCAAGGCCTTGATCAAGATGGCCCTGACTTCCTTCTACTCTGCAGGCCAGCATCTGCTGCTGGATTAAATAGCTAAGAGTAATCAACTAAAACTGAGTACCTACAACAAACTGACTGGGGTACTTGATTTGCACATAACCCAGTAAGAGGGGATTATACCCATGTTATACACAGGAAAGCAAGTTGAGTGTATCAGCAAAATGTCTACACAGAGGGTAACCCAGCCAACCAGAGGCCAGAAGTGGCACTCTACAGCTTCCATAACTTACAGGCAAAATAGAGCAGTGGCTAACAGCACAAGGCTCTAGAGCTAGGCTTGAGTACAAACCCTGGTTAGGAAACTATTTGTGCCTCAGATCCCTACCCCTCTGTAAAATGGGGTTAATAACTGTACCTCCCTAAGAGAATTCTCACTACCCAATGAGTCAACGTGAGAAAGTACCCGCCGCACAAGAGCAAGGTGTTTCTTTCCGCTAGCACGCAGAGCCCACAGGCCAGCAGCTGCCCGTTGAAGCAACAGAAAACGCGACGCGGCTTCCTCCCTGCGTGTTCCGGCCACCCCACTCCGCAGAACTAATCCTGCCGAGTTCCCCCCCGAACGACAGTATTGCCACGCGCGTGCGCGGAAGCCAGGCGACCTGTGGGTGAAGCCTGGCGGCGGAAACGGAGAGACGACGTAACCGGCTGCCGACAGCCGCGCACCGCAGCCGCGCACCGCCCAGCGACCAACCGCCCCCAAGCGCTCGCGCACCACATCCCGACTCCTCGCATTGACGCCGCCAGAAGATGGACCAATGAACGAAGAACAGGGAAAGGCGGGGTTATCTGCAGAACCGCCCACGCACCTACTTCTAACCAGTCCAGTCACGAGACTTGGTGAAGGACGGACCTAATCTGACGTAGATCCAATCCAGAATTTGAGGGCGGTTACAAATTACCCACTCCCTGAGTTTGACTCCGCCCTCCGTCTTGACGTACACTTTTCCACCAATCAACGACTAAACCTGTGGAGGGGTGAGGGGAAGGGGGCGAAGAGTGGGAGGAGGCTGAGAGAGGAAGGAGGCGTAGGCTGAGGAGGAAGAGGGAGGAGGGGTAGGGAAGTCCTGGCGAAGAGGCACAAGACGCCAAAGGCGACTACAGGAGGGTGCGCTGGAGCTCCCCCGCTGACCAACGGCCGTTTCGGATCCCTTAAGGAGCGAGTCATAGAGAGACGAGGAAAGGAGGAAGAGACTTTTATGTCGGCAGACAGAGAAGCTCTACCCGTCACTGTTGCCTCACATCCGGGCCTTTGGAGGGCTGGCCCCCGCGGCCCCGCCCCCCCTCGCGCCTTTCATGGCGACTGGAGGCGGAGGCTGGAAGAGCTGGGACTGGAAGAGGCCCCTTTAAATCTCCTTAAAGGGGTGGCCACTGAACTCGGCAGACTGCAACGCCAGCCTTAAAGGGGAAGCCGCTGAACAGAAGCTGACAGATTGAGAACTGAGCTCTTGGGAGAATTGGAGCGAGTGAGGATTCTTACCTCCTCTTCCTTCCCACTCCAGAAAGTCCTTTAAATTCAGTTTAAAGGGGAAGTGGCCGCTTGTGGAGGGCTGGAAACAAACTCCCGAGCCTTTAAAGCGGCGGCCTGCTGTTTTGAGGACCCAGGACTCCTTAAAGGGGTGGCCTCTTTTAGCCGGAGGACTTGAGACACTTTTAAAGGGGAGGTCTGCGTTTCGGGCGAGCGTTCGGTCCCTTTTAAAGGGGTGGCCCTTCCTCTTCGGGGAGACTAGTCTCGACCCCTGGCAAGGGGCGGCCACCGCACTAGGCCGGCTGGACACTGTCGGGTCGTCTTAAAGGGGCCAGGGGCTGGACAACTTGAGATTTTGCCTTAAAGGGACGGCCGCCCCGTTTTCGCCGTCTTGGCCCCACCGGCCCCACTGGGGGGGGGACCCTCGGGCTTGTCGCCCCGGGGGCGGCGCCAGCTCCCCAGGCCTTGGCCTTGGGGCAAGCTCAGGGCCAGCAGATCCTGCTCTAAAGAGGAAGCCGTGGCCCTCTCGTCCCTGTGCAGCCGCCAACGCCGCGCCTGCGACCCCGGGCCTGCGGACAGGCCGCTTCGGGCCC